CAACTAAAGGTAACATAGATACTTTATTATGGTATAGTATTTAAATACATCCCTGAGAAACACATAATATTGCCCCTTTAAATCACAAGGTTTTTTTATTAGTATTTTTTTTTCCAAATTTCAGTTTCACACTTTGGCAATTCATCTATGTGCTTCTCTCATGCACGTCAGGTACTCGACGCACAGATGGCCTTTTTCTATCGGTGCCGCGTTTCATACGTCGGCCTCCCGATGCGAGGGCGATGGCGTGTGGGGCGTTTGATTTCCAAGCCAGGTTGTAATGAAGTTTGACATTTAGTTTGGAGAGAGCAGCAGAGCGCGATCAGACCTTGATTAGTACGCTCTAATTGAGGATAATAAGGGGGAGGCGGTGATTGTTTCTAATTTTTGCCATTAATTGCAGCCGTTGGCTTTGATTGAGGACAGGCAGGGCTGCCGTGTCAAGGGGCCCGGTGGAATCATGGCGCTCCTCTACCTTGAGCCTCTTGAATAAAAATGAAATAACTCACCCCGCTCCCTTCGTTCTCCCCCCCGCTGCTGCTCGCTCTCACCCTTTTTTTTTTTCTTCATTACCACTTATTCTCAGTGTGGCACTGGCGAAGGCAGGAAGCTGTTAGCAGCGCCCTCTCTGTCTCACCCACAGCCTTCATCCTGAAGCACATTTAAACTGTCATCTCCGTAGTGGGAGTGTAATACACTGTAATCACAGGTTAGTCTGATACCTATTCTGCTGCCCAGGTGATCGTGGCTGAGTGGTAAAGAGTCTCCTGATCCCCAGTGCAACTCATTACCCAGCTTGGTCCTGATGGTCCTCATACACACTAACAGCTAGYTAATAATGCCGCAGTGATTTCTCTGCTTTCCTGATCCGATTACTTTCAACTACATAATTCTCATCTTAACAAATTTAATTTCCAGGCACAGTTTAGGGCTGATAAACACCTACAGAGAATAGACCTTATGTCCATGCGTTAAGCGAATGCGTTTATATTGCTGCTAGGGAATGTATTATAGWTTTTCCGCAAGACGTTTAAGTTCCAGACTCTCTAAAGTCTGACGTAAGCAGAGCAGCACCTCATGTACGTTTCAGGTGCAGGGCGAGAAGGGCCGGGGTCATTTTCCACAACATTAGGGGCAGAAATTGATAATTAGAGGTGTTTATGACACGGTCGGGGCCCCCTTAGGGGCAGCCCGCCCCTTGAACCTCAAGCGACATTAAACAAATGCTGGGTGTCACGTTGGAGCTCATGCCTTCCACCCGCCATACGGAGCTGTGCTGCCGGGACAGACGCTGGGATGGAGAGGGAGGAGGAAGCGGAGGGTGGAAAAAAGGAGGGGGGGGGGCACATGGAGGACCCCTGTGCCCCCAGCTGTCTGAGCCAGCTAATGACTTGTCTCAGGGGGGCTGTTGTAAGAGAGTAGGGAAATTGAAACAGACGTCTCGACTAGAAGCTGCTACATGTTTGGCTGTGTGCTGCCATTCAAAGCGCCAGAGAGCTTAATACATGTGCTCTGGCRAAGGCAGCAGTGCTATGTTATTTAAATGATGGTACATAATCAATATCTGTTTACTATATATTGCTTTATTTTAAATCTGATTAAAAATACATTCATGGGTTTTATTTGGTGAAGAAACAGGGCTTTGTAGACGTGAGCCCTCATCACGAACAATTTCTGAGTCAAAGATGAGCATAATGATGTGTGTCTCAGGTGTTGTCTTCTATATTTTACCCACACTCAAATAGTTTATCCCCCCAGCCTTCGGAGCTTCCCTCACCCCCGCTCCCCGTWAGCATCTTCAATCCCCCGCTGAGCCCAGCTTACTCCTCCAAGACAGCCCCATCTCCCTAAAGGTAATGACCGAATTAGGCCTAATGTTGTACACTGGCTAATGGCACAGTGCGGCACATTATAGCATGTGCAACTGGCAACAACAACAGCAATAATCCCTGAGCCCCCTTGTCCTCCTGCACTCCACCCCTGGGGCTGGGACGGTGCACGGGGAAATGAATGGAGTTTGCTACACTACAATGAGCTTTTGATGGGAGACAATGGAGGATGCTGCCAGCCCCACACAGGGTGGTAGGAAGACCCTCCCTCCCCTGTTTCCCCCCAGGCCCCGTGGCCYCCGCTCTCAAATTCTTAATGGCATCCGGAGGGGGGGTAGAAGGGAAAGTGATGTCAAATGTCAGGAAATCAGAAAGATGGCAAGCTGACAACCCCCTCCTATCTTCCCATTCCTCCTGTCCCTTTGCCCAACGGTAGCACAGGTTAATATCACATTTATAAAATCACTTACAAGAAGCAAAGTCGGCTCTTAGCCCCCCACCCCCACCCGCCACTCTCAGACAGTCACATAGTGAGCCTTGCCACAGGCGAACGTTGGCAACCATTTGTTCGCAGCCCCATACCTGTCCTTCACACCTGAAGCTGGAGTTACTTTTTTAAACGTTGCAACTCCACCAAGTGCAGACACATTTATAGCATTTCATATTTCCACTTACTATTCAGAACTATAATATTGTTATTGTCACTCAGTGTTATTTCCCTAAAATGAGCCGTGCACACAATTAGTGGTGCAAAGATATCCACAGTGTAACAATCTAACTCAATTTATTATTAAATTAAAGTCATTCCTTAAATAAATACATGTCATCCATGGTCTTACTGAGTTTTAAAATAAAATGATCTCAGTTTAAGAAATGACATGAGTTGTAGTATTTTTGTTCAACAATGTGAGATGGCACACAATGTGCTGTGCATGACTCAGCTACTACCATTCCAAATTGTAGCACAGTATCTATTGTAACCATTACGTGCTGGCCAATGCCAATTAGCTGTGGCAGCCATCTTGAATTGAGCCAAACCCACGTAGTTAATCAGTTGTAGATATTTTAACAAAGTTGACTTCAGCTGTTAGTGATGACGTTTTAAGTAAAAATCTTGCACAATAGCATATGAACTATGTGATGCTCAGCTACTACTAAATCAAACTTTAGCTTTGTACCTGACTGGGTAGTAGGCAGCGACAGTCATTTAGAATTAGGTTGTGTCTAAAAGTTAATCCTTGTAGAGTAACGTCCAATTATTATTTCCTGAAGCTTTTATTAAAGTTAATCATTAGGCCCTTTTTGTTGATCTTTTTACTGTTTGCAGCCCTAGTTTTGATCGTATTTCAATAAATGGGATAGAAATGTGTATGTAGGATGTATATATTGAAAAACACAAAGGTGTGTAGTAACAAAACACATTTACTTCATTACAGTACTTGAATATTTTTTGAGGATCTTACCAAGTATTTTTTAAATCATAACTTTTACTTTTCTTTTGTTACATTCAAAACACAATATTGTTACTTCTTTACTATTAAAACGTAACACTTTGTTTAAATATGACCAGACTCATCATTGTTTATGTACTCTAAAAAATGAATTGTTGAACTTACTTAACCAAGTTACAGTATGTCAGCTAGTTCCACTAAACCAAGTTGAGTAAATATACAATTAAATTGCTCATTTTACTTACATGGTTTAGTAGAACCAGTTTATGTAACTTTGTTCAGTAAATTTGACACTTGTTTTTTTAGTGTGTGTAAAAGTGCTTTTACTTTTTTTACTTTTACTTTCCCAATTATTGCGAGCAGTTTTATGACTTAAGTATTTTTCTTGTCAGTAAAATTAATTATTACCAAAGTTGTTTTCTGTTAGGGTATTTTTACTTTTATTTAGTTTTATATTTAATGTTCTTTTTACACCTCGAAACCAATAGCACCAATAAAGTTCAATGAAGTAAATAATGTCATAAATTATTAGACATATTCTACTATTGTCTGACCTGTATCACTTCAGTGAGTTTAGCATTGATTAATAAAGTAATAAACTAACAGAAATGTGGCTATCAAGTTTAAATTAACAACAAAAAAAAATGTTGTTTGTTCCATATTCTTTCAGCCGATGGGATGAGCGATCCTGCAAACGCCAGCATGGGCAGCGCCACAAGTCCTAAACTCGAGCCGCCTCCCTCTCCCCACGCCAACCGCAAGAAACACAGGCGGAAAAAGAGCACAGGCATCACAAAGCCAGACGGCTTATTTGCAGGCAACGATGGTAAGACGGAAAACAACCGCAGTGCCTTGAAATCAGAAAAACCCTGAAACGGTTTCGAATAAAACAAGTTTTCCTTCTTTAGAGCTAGAATAAATGTTAGGCTATTTATGTAAATGTTCAAATCCGAACCTTTTTAGCTGCTTTTTATCGTGTCAAATTGATGTAACCCACCAGCCAAACACAGRGGGTGCTTTTTGCCGTTACTGATTGGTCTCATAAACCGAGATGGAATGCACCGGTTTGTATCATTATAAAATTATGTGAGAGGTTTACCGGTGAACAACGTAGTTTTCTCTTCAGTTTAAGGATTGCTCTTCTGTAATTGAGTTTGAATTCAAAAATAGTTCGCCARTCATTATGAGAGAAAAAAATGTGTTCGAATAAACTCTGCATGTGCGCATGATGTACATAAAGGTGTGTGGTTTTGAATTTCCATGTGCCCCCCCCCTCGCGCAGCGCCAATTTATTTTACTGTTGTATGAATAGTGAATGTGGCCGTCCTCAGCAGGGGAGTGGCAGTTGGCTCTCCACCCAATTAATAATGATTCCTCAGCCCAATGATGAATGGCGCGCCCTAATTGGATGGCATTGTGAAAACACTGAGGCGCATTTCAGAGGCCATAAAACTGATGTCACCCGAGCAGGATGATCAATCAACAAGATTGATACGCTGGATAACAACAACAATGGCATTGACGCCTCCTAAATGGGGCTTAGCATTTATAATCWTTATACTTTTTTATCCCGGTCTCTGACAGCTTCTCTTTAAAGTCTGAATGGGTCTGCTGACCACATTGTTGTACAAGAGGGAACATCATCAGCATCGTGGTGATAAGTGGTGGGAGATAAGTGGCGTTCCTTTTTTTATTGTGTGACGGTATCCACCTCAGTTGTGAAACTGGGCCAGATACTCTGGATCTCGCATCATCATTTGTATTTGACAGTGTTTGGAGCTGCAGCTGTATGTACTGTATGTGCAGAATCAGCCTGCGACTCACAGCATCCCTTGAGTTTTATTTGCCTTTACTTAGCTCTTAATGTGCATCTCCTGGCAGAATTACAGCCACGTCTAGGAAAACAACAAAAAAAGTTTTCACTGAGTGACAGCTGGCATTATCAAACATCTTCAAACCTCTATCTGTTTACTCCTGGACTTCCTGAGGAGGAAGTCTGGGAGCAATCAGACAGGAGGAGGCAGATCCTGAGTGTTTCYCACATCATCAAACAAGCGCACTGTTTTCTATCCATCTCGCCGTTCTCTGCGAGGTTTTCTATTAGCATCAGCGACGTCTGCTCAGCTGAACGCTCCGGAATACAGACGTATCGCTTAAGYATTGGCTTCGCCCAATCCGGGGCTGTGAGCAGCGTCTCCCGTTAAAAGAACAGGAGCTGCGGGGRGAAAAAAAAGAAAAGGGAGAGAGAGGAGAGGTGGGATCCTTGAATAAATTGCTATCAGTTTATCTCATTTACGGGGCACTCAGAGGCATGCACTGCAGGCTGAAATTGAATTTTAGTAGTCGTGAAGCATCATAAATCAAAGCGGCGTGAGAGTTTTAAGGTGAGATATCATTTTGGTCAACRTGGGATGTGTGGAGATGTACGAGTAAAACCTGCAGAAACCGTTGCGGCGGCGTGTTCAAAGACCCCTCTGCATGGCTGCTAAAATGGGGGAGTAATCTACATGTATTTTGCAACATCAAGTTCATTATTGTCAATCCAAAGAACTAAACATTTCAACATGTGTACAGCTGTTTTTCAATCTAAAACCTCTTTAAATCCATATTTGGATCAAGTCTATTATGTCCAGTGTGCTCTTTTTCCATCTAGAATGCTCTTGGAGGACACAGCCCCTAATACCATAGGCACTGTCAGAGCTGCAGCGGTGTAATGAACTTCTCATGTGCTTAAAGAGTGATGCAGGATGCATGGCGAGACAACTGACAGCCCCGTAATGTGTTTCCCAGCAGCCGCCTGGCGACGACTTCTCTCCGTGTGTCGCTCGCCAAAAACCCACTGGAAAATCGATGGCCGATAAAGACTTGTGTTCGGGGGGGAGCCCTTCTGATTAATGCATACTGTCAGAGAGCGTCATTAATGTATTTCTCTTTTAAAAAATAGTGTCAAATGCTCATTGTTTCGGAGGGTTTGGCTCGAGCCAGGAAGTGGTTGGCGACGCGGCGGAGGAGGATTGTGATAAGAGGCTCCTGATGTTTCTGGTTTTGTGAAGGATGTTATTTGCTCAGGCGAAGGTCACAGGAATTAAACCGACGAAAAAGGCTAATGATGGGGCTGAATGCCTTTAGTGTCCAAAAGGTGTCGAGGTCCTGAGATAAGAATCAAAGTAAATTGGCTAACAGTTTATTTTTTCTTCTTTCTTTTTTTTTTTTTTTGAAGAAATAAAAGCATACATGCTACAACGGAATAAAAGGAACTGATTTTAATATGAGAACACGTTACAATTAGAATTTACATATAACAAGATATAATMAGATAATAAGATAATGTGTGTTGTTTTGGGTGAGATGATTATAAACTTAGAAAACATTTGTTTCATAAATGCAGTTTTTATATTTGAAAACCGTTATATTTTAAAGCCCTGTTGGGCTTTAAAGATGTAAAAAAGTTCAGGTCATAACTAAAACAGGAAGTTAAAATCAAAGTAATAAGTTTGTCACATCTGAGAATGTTTATTTTACATTTGATGTGACTTTAATTACATTAYGTTTTTAAACATGTTCAAGAATCTTTTATCAGAATTCTTCAGTTTTCTGACCTGAGCCCAGGTCGCATCAGGAAGGTCATCGGCATAAAAGCAGACGCCAAATCTTTTATGTTGATTTGCTCATTGTGGCGACCCTCAAAGAAGAGAGCTGAAAGAAAAATATCGTCGCTGATAGCTGTCAGTGTGACAATTCAGTAACCAGACCCTAAAATTAATTTTCCCCCATAACAAGTGATATTTAAGTTTTGTTTGAATATTAATTAAATGTAACATTTTATTTCTTTAGAATGTAGTTTTTTTAGACATTTTGAAGTTTATTTTTTACTTATTTTCAGCACCGTTTTTTTTTTTTTKTTACACCAACACTGATCTATGAATCTTCTAATAGAAACCCAACTTAAGCAGTTAAGCATCCTTCTAACATAATTGACGACTTGATAAAGAAACTGGTGTATTTTGGGTGGGGGGATGTGTGTGTGTTTTTTGGTGCTTTGAACATGACTCATTGTTTCTTCTCAGTTTTAGTTTTGTCTATAAAAAGGGCCAAAGTACTACAYTGAACCTAAATAAGGAATTTTGCTCCAACAAGATGATTTCCAAATACCCATTAGCAGATATTTTAGAATGTCTGAAACGTGAAAAAAACTTAAACAAATCACACAAGTGAAAACCAAATGAAGTAGATATAGCTTAACAACAAATGACATTTATCTGAGTTATGTCTTTGAGAAATAAGCGAAACTCCAACAGAAACCAGACCTAATGCATCTGGTCCTTGAGTTTCTCTATTGTTTAGTTCAGTGAAAGGGTTGATGAGAAGAAGTTGCACTTGAAAAATTGAAACAAGAGGCCAGCAAATGGCCCAAGAACTGGGCTAAAAATCAGATGCAGCATTCCTTGTAAATTTTTGATTCAAATATATAGAAGCTTGGGAAACTGTTTAATGATGAGTCACTTCAGATTTTTGTAAAACACGGTGGAGGCTTTCTCGTGATTTGGGCTGCATCTTATGTAATGCTGTTGGGGATCTTGCCAAAATTTGTTAAAATAACATTTTCTTGCAGTATCATTAGAAAGGAAAAAAAAATGTCCAGTATCTTTCAGTGGGACAAAGATACCAATTCTTTTTTTTTTTTTTTTGATTAAAGTTGTGCCTGAATATACAAACACACAATGGGTTATTATCATTAATGCGTTTACCTTCCCACAGCCTGGACGTGTCAGTGAAGCAGTGTGGGGATAATGACTGAGAACAAAACAAAACACAGCCAGGAAGAACTTTGGAATGTCCTTCAGGAAGCATCAAGACCTATTTCGAAATTCTTCTGAAAGAAATTGAAAAAATRTCTGAGATAATTCAGGCAGTGTCAGAAATACATTAAACCTATTTTGTGTTGCACGCTGCATTTCCGTTCATGTTTAATTTGAACTCTTGTTGGACTGTGCTTACTTGCATGTTTAGTTTTTTGGCTTTTCACAGCCTGAAATTGCACTTTGCTAAGTTTCTATGTAGGAAAAATAACATGGCTATCAATGTCCTTAGTTTACATTAGGAATTCAGCTTAATCCAGTATGCCATTGTCCTGTWTGTTTGTAAACTAAGGGTTAATATCCTCTGGAGTCCAGCTGAGGATTAGGAAATGGAGGTTTAACTGCCTGTGCTAATGGTGGGTGTTTGTCTCAATACTTTGTTTTGTCACTCCCAGACTCACTCTCATTTCCCAAAGCTGTCCCTGGAGCCCCCACTCTTGTAATGGCTTAGCTTTCTGAGCGCCACGGTATGGAGGGAAAAGAATAACAAGATTCTCATTTGGGCTSTATACACACTGCCCACAGATACTTGTATAATTGGCCCTGTTTTCGTTCTTCGCTGTTGTTAATGCACTAGCTATTAGCGCGGTGATGTCGGTGCTGATTTCACGTGTTTGTTCGTCGTTGGAAGTTGTGCTCTTTGCCTGTTTGAGCGTACGCATGTAAAAAGTGTGCAGAGGTGTGTGTGTGTCAGACAGATAGAGAGGAGTGTGCTCAGTCTCTCTCTTCCTCGCTGCTCTTTTCTTTCTGAGTTTGGTCGTGGTTCCCCCGGGGCCCCTGTCGCAGTAATGGCCTGCTCCTGATTGCTCTGATACAGGTTAGGAATATTGGCTTTAATGATGTGTAAAATGAGCAAGCAGTGCCTGTGACATTTACAGATGGCACCGCCTTGGCCTGTTCTTCCCAACTGCTCGTTAATTCACGGGAACGGCGAGCACTTCTTTAAGTGACTGCCTGACGCATGCATACGGCACACCACAACACATCCCCACGCTGGGAAAACAATAGCTCACCTCGTGTCCTGCACCTTGTCACCGTTTCAACCAAGCGTTCACACGAATGAATCAAATTTTGGACTCCTCAAGGTGAGGAGCTGTCGATTGAGTCCTTTCAGAGGGTTCGTCACACCGATCTCCAGAGGGCTTTCAGAGGCTTAGACAGAGTAGATGTTGTAGTCTGCCTTATAGACAACACAGCTGGGCTCAGCACCAAACCCCCCGAGGTGCTAATCTGGTCCACAGGCACTCTGCGGCGCATCTGCTGCTCCCGCAACGCAAAAAGAGGAATCACCRTCCTCGGGTCAGCCTCTCCTCTATCAGGTTCCGGTCTGATTTTTAGGTCAAACAAATGCCTTCTCTGACAGCCGTTCAGTAGTGAGGAAACTAGCTCGTTTTGCTATATGTAACAGCTTCATTATTATGAAGTTAGACTTTAAAACACTAAAACCTAATATATTTGAATTATTATGTGATTGTRTGATGATATTAGAGCTTTACGGCCTGCTCATTGTCTCACAATAAACCAATGAACTTTAGACAATGAAAATGAGGGTTCAACAAAACTAATACATTTTTTAAAAATCTCAAAAATATAGTATTCCTTTTTTATTCTATAAGTCTCCTTAATCTCCATTGAGATTTAAACCTCGAATTTACATCTATAAACGATTTTTTGAGAAGTTTGGGAATTCAAAATCGCTTTTTCTGCAAATGCCAATCACCGTCCACTCAAAAAAAAAAACAACAAAAACAAAACAGGACCTCAATTAAATGTTGTGTTCATTACAGGTTTTATTAGTCCTGACAAAAGTAAATTGTTGGTTTATATCTGACAGTATTTCAATAATTGTTACCATCATTATAGGTTTTGTGTGGAAAAAAACGTAAATAAATGTAAAAGTTGACGGTTGTTGTGAATTAGCCATGGTTATAGACACTTGATGCAGGCATCAGATTGTCTTGATCCATTTCTTATATCTGCCCCTATCAAATAAACAAGAAATAAAAAGTACAAAAAAAGTGTTTTCAATTCATGGTAAATGTAAAAAGGATCTCATAATGGAAATACTCAATAATTTAAAAGTAGGTTTAAAGTCACTATAAGGTATTTTCAGTCCTAGTGTAGCCCAATAAATGTACAATAATAAAACACATTTTGCATTTTCATGAGATATTTTGTCTATTAAAATGCCGTTGCATTGCTCCAATCAAAGAGCAGATGAACAATACGTGTAACTGAGATGTTTCCTGAAAAAATTTATGATCCATGTAAGTGTCGGACGGAGATGTGTATCTCAATCCGTTCCTCTCCATTTTGTAGCTTTGCGGCCATTACACTGTAATTTCCTTTTTTTTATAATGTTGTGTTAATTAAAGAAAAATCATATTTTCTTATTCTTCACAGTTGGCGCCTTTGTTAGCTTTAAAAGGGGGGTTCTTCCTTGTCGTCTCGCTGCATTAATTTATTTCTAATTGGCCCGAACTTGCTGGTGACAGGATCTTGTAGAAGTGGTCAGGAGGTTAATGCTTATGGTAATGTGACAAGGTGATCGCTTCTCTGTTAGCCGCGTGCTAACTGCAATGGCTGAGTGATAGAGAAGCAGCTGTAATTCTGTTACTTTGTTCATGCTCAGATTTATGAGGCAAACACTGGAAGTTCACTCCATTTAGGGCATTAAATAGTATAGTTTGTCAGTGTGCTGGAGCTGAAATTCAGAGTTGCTCTAAGGCATTTTGGCTGCAGATCRTCTCGTGTTTCTTCCCCCGTCTTTGACGTTTCACGTGTACATCGCGATACATACAGAAGAGGATTTGTTTCCTTGTATACTCATCAGTTTAAGAAACCAGCCATCCGTTGCTTTTTTAATCTCCATAATGAAAGTGTTTTAATGCCTCCAATTTATTGCCTGGGCAGCCAACAGAATAATTAGCTTTGTTCAGGTTTTTAAAGTGACAAGAGCACGAGCACAACATTTGGAATCACAGATTCTAATAAAATGCATTAGTTATTGTACCAGGATTGGACAAAAAATAAATAAATTTGATTTTGGTATTACAATGATTTTTTTTTCTTTTTCTCAATTTTTCTTTTATTGTCCTTTTACTTTGAAGTTTCTAAAAGTTAACCACTTTTTTCAAAAATTTCTGTTCTGATTTCTTCTGATGTTTTAAAATGTCACACATACAGATTTTTTTTCTATAAGTCTAAATAAAGAGGTTTCAAAGTCTTTATTGATTCTCCGTGACCTGGAGTCAATTCCACAAACTAAATCAGATAATTGAAGTCAGTGTCAAGCTAATTGGATTATTGCTTTAGCCCTGAAGAGATGACCCACTGCTGCAGCACAAGGATTGCAATATTAGAGGCATCTATCCCTCATTTGTCATTTACTGTACCAACATATAGCTGTGCCACGTAACAAGGAGGGTAGATTAACATCATGTTATTCCAGATATGTTTAAACTCATATAGAGCTAATTCTATGTCAAACGTTTCGTTTTACTTAAAATGTTCCAATGATTTGGAGCTTATAGGAGCTTTTTATGTTCTTGTAATAATCAATCATATCAACAATTTGGCTTAAAAAAAACAGCACCCAAGTAGCAAATGAGATGAAAAGTCTATCAGAGCTGCACAGGGGGAGAGAAAAAAAGCCCAACCCTCTTGTGTCTGTTTGCCTTCAGTCCTCCAAACGTGGTTTATGCAAATGAGAGCCGTATTTGCATAGACATAATTAGGTAATTACAAATCATTTGGCAATGAGCTCAAGCATGTGCAGAGACCAGAGACGTTTACACGAGTCACATTGTACTGTACGGCGTTAATGAATTGCCTTCCTATCGGCAGAGGCATTACGGCATGTGTCGGAACATATGTTGTGTCAGAACTCTTCATTGTAAACATCAGGTGATGTTTTCATAAATCTTAGTCAAAGGCAATATCAGTGGGCGAAGTCGGTTCAGGATAAAATAGATTGGCATGTTCGTTTAGGGAAGAAGGATAAAAAGGGATAGGGAAAAAAAGGTTGGCAGGATGTTTTGTTAAGTATTCTACTTAATTTGGACTTAGTAGTTGTGGAAGTAAGCTAAATATCAGCTAGTCGGTATGAATGTAGGAAAGTAATTTACATTATAAAGTCTTAATTTACTAGTTTTTGCCTCTTGATTTGAGATAGTTTATTGTAATGATGTTTGGCAGCACAAAAATTGGTAGACCTCTTAAAAGTACCAATTTCTGTGCCAACCACCCAATTTTTGTGCCAACCTACCAAGTTCCTCTTGAAGTTCTATCTTGAAGCCCACCCCTAGAGGAATTTCCAAATGATTGAATGTGTTGGAATTGCATGTTCCCCACTGACAACAATTAACCATTTTTTTCAGATTATTATTTACCAAATCTCTATGAACACAAAGCGTTGATAATGATAGACCCCGGTCATGTTGTCGGAGGAAAAAGTGGTTTAGTTCCTCCAGGTAAGGGGTGTTTCACTTTGGGACAAATTACGACCGCCGATTGGTCAGTTACAAACAAACCCACTGGATTGATTGACAGGTTGTCAGTTCAAAAATTCTTTACAACTTACATGTGATTTGTTCCAGCATACACATTAAGATCAATTTTTAATTATTATTATTTTTTGTCAATTTTGATTTTCCAGAACAAGAAGATTCCTTTGAGTTCATTATTGTGTCGTTGACGGGTCAGACGTGGAACTTTGAAGCCACTACTTATGAGGAGAGGGAGCTATGGGTGCAAGCAATAGAGAGCCAGATCTTTGCCAGCCTGCAGTCCTGTGAGAGCATCAAGAACAAGGTACAGTAGACTGTGACARTTACGGAGGTTCGAAACAAATTGAAAGGATGGGCAAACGTCATCAAAGTGTGGTATTTTTACTATTCTGCTGCTTCCTTTAGGGTCTTCTCTTTCCCTTTCTTTCAAATCCTTTTGCTCTCCACCCCTTCTCGCTCGCTTCACGCTATGACATGAGGGAGGTTGTCAGACAGGTGCGCCACAGTGTGGGGGATCTCTTATTAGAACTGACAGACATCTGAGATAGAACACGGCTTGTGTCAGCTACTGGGGAGACACAGCCTCATTTTCATATTCATATTTTTCTCTGCCTCTGACTCCTTCGTAGTCTTTGAAGAAAAAATCTTCTTCTTCGCTTTTCCTCGCCAGTTGTCCAGCTGTAATTATTTGCTTTCTGCTACAGCCTGCTGAAATAATTAGTTCCTGTTGACCTATTCTCTCCCTAATTTCTCACAGTCTCGGTTAGGCAGCCAAAGTGATGCAATGGCCATTCAGTCCATACGAAACGTGAGGGGGAACAGCTTTTGTGTGGACTGTGATGCACCCAGTGAGTATAACTCAGCTTAACTGTGAACTTTTATCTTTAGGGTACTAAAAAAAGAAAAAAATTACCAAACTACTGAAACTAAAGTGTTTRTGTTTATCTGAATTTCTAAGAAATGTTGTCAAGATTAAAACAGGCTGTTGCTTCATTTCTAAGAAAAAAAATTGTTGTGGAAATGAATGATTTCTTATCTTCTACCCTGCAGACCCAGATTGGGCCAGCTTGAACTTGGGTGCCCTGATGTGCATTGAGTGTTCAGGCATCCACAGGAACCTGGGCACCCACCTGTCTCGCGTGCGCTCTCTGGACCTGGACGACTGGCCGGTGGAGCTCAGCATGGTGATGACGGCGATCGGCAACGCCATGGCCAACAGTGTGTGGGAGGGCGCTCTGGAGGGCTACGCCAAGCCGGGGAGCGACAGCACCAGGTTAGTGCAGCTCGGCAAATAAAAAGGTGCTGCTTAATGAAGCATCCGGAGATTATAGAAAGAGAATGGCGGCAGTGTCTTCTCTCCATTAGCTGCCATTTATTAGCCACCCACATTTCAGCAGAGGCAGTTCACACCACAAAATGCTCCATAAGAAGCACTGGGGGGCCATAAATGTCAGCCTACTGAGTCAGAAACAGTATTTTATGTCTTTTATTCATCACAGATCACTGTGTATGTTAGAGTTTCTCTTCTGCAGTTCATCCCCTTGTCTTTTCATAGCATCACCCACAGCACCACTTCTGCAGCTTGACCACAATAATTCAAGAGAGGAGTGGCATGTGCAACATTATTACGCACCTACTTGATAAATGGTCGGAGTTGTCAAAGTTGTCACCTGACATGTAAGCACTAATAAAGTCAAGTTTTTTCTGAATGAGTCCACATGCTAAACAAACCACCAGGCTTGTGTTCATTTTAAAACCCATCCGTCAGTTTTCTTTACTCGTTTTTTTTTTTTTTTTCCTTTCTGGGTGGTGTGGGAGCTGGTGCCTATCTACAGCGGTCACTGTGTGTGACGCAGGGTACACCCAGGACAGGTCACAAGTCTGTCACAGGACCACATAGGCAAACAACCATTCACACTTTCACCCACACTCTGAGATAAATTAGTTACTAATTAACCCAGCAGGCAGGCTTTTGGACTGTGGGAGGAAACCGGAGCACCCCGAGAAAACCCATGCACAAATGGGGACAGGGTTGGCCCATAACATAGGCAATATAGGTAATAATTATAATAATAATAATAATAATAATAATAATAATAATAATAATAATAATAATAATAATAATAATGAAATGGTAAAAAGATAAATGCTAACAAAGTGTAATTTATTCTTGCATTTCAACAATCACAGTAGATAACCGGTAGAAGACAAATGCGCAGCTTCTTATTGTAAATCCATCTTTATATGTAACTTTTGTGGAAGGATTCTTTTATCTGCTGTTGACAGGTGAACCAGTGTCCCAGTTTGACTAATGGCCTGTTGTGCGGCTGTGCAGGTAATTAAGCACACCATGATGGCTAGACCCCACCCCAAAAGGCGGGCCCTCGGGTCCCAAGTTATCCTGTCACCTATCCATCACACCGGCCCGGGTCATCACTCTCTCTGTCACAGCGCAGGCTGTCTGCAGGGTCTCGCTAGTGGCATTTAGAACTTTGTTAGGAAAAGTCAAAACAGAGACAAAGGTCGATGATTGTTTAGCCATTTTGCAAACCGAGCCAGAGTGTTTGATTTGTTTGTGAGCTAAGCCTAATTGAAAGCAAGATACTGGGCAAGTTATAAATTGTATATTTAAGGGGCTGTAAAGTATTTTATCAGTGTGTAAAGCATATCATTTTTGCTATTGCAATAAGTTTCAATCTTCAAATATTTTAACTATTAAGGCATGATTCTATGATTTTAAACTTGTTTTGCTCTTTAGCTTTTGAAATTAAGACATTATGGTTCCTTTTTTCTCCATCCTGCCAACAGTGGGCAGCTGAACTGACAGATGTGACCCAAATAATGATGGATATTCTCATTTTATTTGTTTTGTGAGAGRAACACGAGATTTTTTTGGTCTCCCCAATAATCTATACCATAACCACAGTGATTTAAAATTCTAGCAATTATCAGTTTAGTTGATTTGGTGTATTTCTACTTATAACTTTAAATAAAAAAACACTCAACTATAAAATTGAGTTGACTAAACACAAAATCAATGCTGGAGAGCAGGGGCGGACCTAGATTTTTTTTCAAGGGGCGGCACAGTGTGGCTAAGTTGTTTTCTAGGGGGGCACATACAAATAAAGGAAGAGCTCTAGATTTAAAAATTCAATCTGGTTGCCACAGCTAATTCCAAATGGCTTTAATTCACCTTTTTTAAGAAATATTGAGCTGAAATTGTGTAGTTATATATGAGAATGAACCAAAAACATGTTGATTTCTATTCACAACTTATTATTCAGCCATTTTTAGACATACAAGGATAAAGATTAGTGTAGAAGTAGCCGAAAACAAATCTTTACCAAATCCTAAATGCTAATCAAAAATTCAAGATGGCCACCACAGCTAACTTCAAAAGGCTATAATTTAGCTATTATAAGAGTTACTAAGATGAAATTTGTTGTGAAGTAGCTAAAAATGATCACATACAGACTGCTGATGCTAATCCCAAATAAAGCTAACCGCTAATGCTAAATTTACAAAGCAATATAATTCAGCCATTTTTGAACATGCACAGCTGAAAGTTTTTATAGTATCAGAGAACAATCTGTAACAGAATCCAAATACATAATCCAAGATCCCCACCCACGTGTCAGTCCTTGGGGCGTGGCACCTGGCGTGTGGCTGATCAGGGGCCAGGGGTCGCACTTGACACCCCGGCCTCCCCTCTTGCTCCGCCCCTGCTGGAGACAAAACAAGCAGCATCTCTTCACTAAAACTGATGTTTTATTTATCTTTCACTAACAAACAGCTGTTTGAGTTTTACCTCCCCTCTCTGGCCAGTTCAGACCTAAGTGATGGCCTACAGTTGTTTATTGAATGGTATTTGTGCTGAAGTGCTCCGCTGTGGGACTTGATGAAAGATTATTGATGTTGATTCCTCTCCCTACCGCTTGTCAGTCCCACGTCGCCTCAGGCTGGAAGGTTCTTCACTGTCTCAAAAATCCGATCTTATCCCGCAGCAACRTCTCCATTAACTTCCACTGTCAAACAATAAATCTCATTTGCAGTATAAGTAATCTTCAAACCCAATGTAGCACTTTAAATATCACACATGACCACGTGTTTATTAGGATCGTACGAATTATTTCAAACCATATTTCTTTTTCCCCTTTTAACGTGAATGCATTAAAAACTCAAGGATTTTTAATTATGTCACGCTGATGACACATAGCAGCTTTGCAATGGCACCTATGCAGGCATTGTATGGCTGCTGACTCTCACTAAACATTAGTGACACCTAATCTAAACGATTCAGTAACTACTTGAATATCAACTTGCAGTCTGATTGAATGTCTACTGCAAGACTAGTTTTACCCCCCTTGCATTTTTTAGATTTAACTTAAAGGCGTTCATCCACAAGATTGGTTTAGCTTATAATATTCTGGATCAAAGGGACACAATATATAGATTTGTTGTATGCTTATTGTTGTACATCAAGAACAATTGCGGATTTTATACTGGGAAAGATGTTTATATGCATCATCCAATACTTGTTTTTATGAYGTGTACAACTTTTAACTCATTTTTATGTGGTTTACGATAATTAAACATCAATAATTATGAGCCATTAACAGAATAATATTGTCCTGTTACCATTTATTACCTTTTATATGACAGAAAGCTTCATTAAAGTGTGGCACAAGTTGAGTCTGGAATGATAAGCTTGTGGAAGCTTTGCACTGTGGCTGATCTCAGCCGTCAGCATATTACAGGGGAGTTGTTCTTTAATTAGCACCTGGGAGTCATTGTGTTTTGCACGTCATCTCTAATTGCTTGGCATGTTTGTGACAGAAAAAGTAAATCTTACGGAATATTTTTGATGGATTCAGTGGGAGCGGTCAAACCGCTAGCTTTACTTTTAGCTCCTTCTGACAAACTCGCGCGCACACACATGTACACCAGTTCTCATTTTTGGGGAGATATCCCGGAGCGTGGACGGATGTGGATGGCTATCCCTCACTGATGGGGGGGGGGCGGCCCCCTCTTCGCTGTCACCCTCTGTAGGCTCTGCGCCGCCTTCGGCCACATGCAGGTAATAGCTCTGATGAGAGCCCTCCACTTTGTTTCAGAAATAATTTGCCACTCCTGCCGCCTGCAGGGGCTGCGTGGTAATAAAAATGAATCACACCACTAACCTCTCCAAACCTGGCCCCTCCGTCCTGTTTTAACCCCTTCAGCTCTGGCGATACCGTCCTCCTCTCAGGCTGTTTGTGAAATCATTGGCTGTGGTCAAAAGACTTCTGTTCTAAGAGTTGTCTACATTAGCTTCTACCCCTCACGTTAGCCAAGCAAGGCTTCCAGGTTGTTCGCAGGTTCRTAGTGCTGGAACGCCTGCTCTCCGAAGAGATTTTCAGTCGGTTTTGCCAGGAACCCTGGTGGAGGAAGACTAATTAATTAAGACAAATGAATGACTTGGTCTTCCCATGTCCTTTCTTGCCTTTCTCTTTCTAAATGAAAGCCACAGGTCAGTAATTATCCCTCTGTGGGCGAAGTAGTACCTTGGTCGCTAATTGCCAATATGCCACTGGGTCTTGGGGCCAGGTGGACGGAGAGGAAGGACCGCTTAGCCATGCGGTTTAGTTACCGTGTTGTTTGGAAATCATAATTATAAAAAAAGGTGCCTAATTGCCGGAAAGCTGGAGGATTTGAGTCTGTGACCGAGACTTAGAACCGTGCACTACATGAAGCAGTCTGCACACTTAAATGGGCCATGTGTTGTCGTCCCCTCAGCTTTGTGTGAGAGGCGAGGGTTCAGCAGGGGTTAACAGCATGAGCGTTTAAGAGTGTTAGTCTTTCTGGCACAAAAACGAAGCCACTCCATCATGAGGGGTCTGACAACCTCATTAATGTCACAATATATTCAGCTCATCCCTCTGCCTGCCTTTAGCACCCAGATGCTCTCCCATTCGGCAATTCTATAGAGTTTAAAACAAAACAAAACAAAAACCAACCTTTTGAATTCTGGTCATCTGTTTGGACCRCGCTGTGGAAAAAGAGAAAAGCTGTATCTGCACTAGTAAAAATATCTGTCTTCATTCTTTCGGAGCTAGTATACTCAGGTTTACACTGTAACTCGCTGGACCATAGGAGGCCTTTTTTAGCACTCTTGTTGAGGCGTTTACTGCGTTGCTCCTTCATTTCTCGCCCTTAGCAACCTTTGATGCTTTGGGGCCCAGCTTTCTCTCTCTCTCTCTCACTCCGCATCCCCCTCTGTTTTGCTGCTGTCCCCTCTTCCTCCCTCTCTGCTCTTCCCTCCCTGCCGTTTGTGGAAGTGAAGCTGCTTGGCTGCATGGGAATCAGCCGTATAGAAGTCGACCACCCCCCACTGTGAAGTCTGTTCAAGCTGGTCCAACCCCTGCACCCCCCCACAGCATTTCTCCCCTTCACTGCATCTGTTTGATGTATCCACGGTGAATTTGGATGCTCATGGAGAAGTGGGAGGAGCCGGGGAAGGCTTTGATAGTTTTGAAGGACTCGGTTTGTGTTTGAAAGATGGGCAAGTCGTGGGACGGACGTCCTCTTTTTTTTATTTTTCTCCTATGCACCGATGCACCTTTATTGCAGGCGGTCAGATTGGTCATTCTGTGGCGCTGTGAGCTCCACCTCCACCGTCTCAGTTTCCCTTCCCTTCCTATAAATTCCCGTTCGCCTTTTGTCTTTCAGGCTTGACTAATTATCCTTGTTTGTTCCTCTTTATTTGAATCCAGTCATGTGTTCTTGACTCCGTGGGCTGGGTTTAGGAGAATCATTCTGCCATTTGCCACTTAATTAAGTCAGGGTCAGAATGCATTGCTCAACGGAGAGCTGAAGGGACAGAGCTGTAATAGAATTATAAAAGAAGCCTTTCTCTACTGTTAAGGCGGCCTTTATCTCGGCAGGACCTGCATAGGCAAATGAAAGGGGACACCAGCTCTAGACAGGAATCTCATTTCCACTTTAAACTTCAGGGAGCGTTTTGGTGTTTGCCCAGAATTTCATTCACTTCAAARTAAATGAAAGTTAAACACTGTTTATGCTGCAGGACAACCGAACGACGGAGGAAGGTTGTGACGGTGTTTTTTTTAGATGAAAGAGAGGGGTGCTGGCATTTTTATTGGCAACTTTAAAAGCTCTCTCTATCCCCTCAGCAACAGTGAAATTTAGAACAACTATGCGCTCAGGCCTGGGTGGGGAAACTCGATGTGGATGATCTTTCAAACCTGTGAGTCATAAGCTAAGTT